ATATTCTTCGCAGTTTTGCAAAAGAAGGTCTGTCCGAAATTCATCGTCAACTGATATTCCATGAGGAAAAAAAGCAGGACCCATTTTTATGAGATTCTAAAGGATAAATGTATTCCGGTTATCTGGAAATTTGTCATCAGAATTCTGTTTGGAATGAGCATCAACGGTTGGGATACAAAAGCGAACATTAGGGACTGGTTCGTCGACCATAGCGCAGATGATATGTAACGTCAGTATTTAGGTAAGTCAACTTGTGCATCAGTTTATTTGGAAGAAGAGGGCTGCATAAATAAATGTTACCTAATTTATCGAGAAGATGGACGAGAATGACGTAACAGATAGACAGCGCTCTTCTTCCTTATCCTTCTCTGCGATTCACCCAAAAGCTAAATCTTCTGTGCTTTTAAGAATTTTCACGGCAAAAGTCGTTTAAGTAGTGGATCTCATATACCCTCTAACCCCAGCATTCTGTCTTATGGGACTGGTGGTGCTTGGGGTTCTTTGGATGGGGAAACGAGATAGGCACTGTAGGCAATAGTAAAATCATTGTATGGTGATAAATCACATTCGATTGGTGGTTTTAATCAGTGTGGATTCGACGACGTGGTGCACATTGGAATGCTAGACTATACCTGACCTGTCACAAATGTACGCCCGGCTGTTTACTCAATTACCTCTTATTTATTAAGTAATGTTCTTTTTGCTTATTTTTTCATTTTATGCGCTCTAATCCGTTGCTAGGTAGTGGCTGCGGTAAACAAATTCAACTGAATGTTACCACGATAGACTTTCTTCTACAAATTTCTTTCATTGTCTATGCTATTTTTCCATCGTCTAACCCCCCTTTTACCTCCGTTCCCGTACGACAGAATTCTGGATTTTGGGGTATATAAGATCCACTACCTAAACTGCCTTTGCCGAATGCACTTACGGTCGTCGGATTCTTGGGTATTGAACCACCCTAATGATCACTGCGGAGTTCACTATCCCCAACATACTCGGTTAAGCCTTATTAAATCAATTCCAACTCACTCCTCCCATGTTCTTACTATCCGGCGTAATCAACATGTTCTTAGTGCTTAAATGCGTCCTTAAGAGGGATGCAGTGAATGCTTACATTTTGCTCCTATTCAGGTGACATGGAGCTGGATGATTCCACGGCAATCAAACGGAAGTACTACTACGCGATGTATGAGTGGAACGTCTGGGGTCGCTGTTCCTGTTTCGGCCATGCCACACGTTGTCGACCTAAATCTCCGCATGAGCTCGAAAATATGGAGAAGGTGAGCGTCATTTTAGGGTAAATTTGGGGCACAAATTAAATATTTTATGGTTCCTGCTATGTGAGGAAGGTATAAGCTGGTTTGCCGCACACTAATGGGAAGTGTAGGTGAAGTAACTTTCAGCAGTACCAGTGGAAGTCCAGAAATCCTGTATCGACTCCAAGACTCACTACGGGTGAAAATCAGCAGCAGGCCTGATAAGTATCAGTGTGCGAAAATTACTTCCTCCATTGTGATTAAATTAGTCATTTATTCTATCGAAAAGGTTTTTGGATTACTAAAAATAAAGTTCAAGATTTAGGTAGTCTCGGCTTGCGTGCCCAACAGTGTGCTATACGAAAGGTATCGAGAAATAAAAAGAAGACCAGAATAGCAATTTATGACTTATTAGCCATCGTCTGCCAGTCATATCCAATCCTAATTGTGAGCCGCCCAAGATTCGAGCCGGCGACCCTTTGGTTATGGAATGTAACACTATGTCATTGAGCTACATGCTCGTCAATTTATCTGTTCATCCTCACCATATGCTGCTAGTTGCTATATGACTGCTTTTGAGGCTCTGTAGTGGGCTCAAGAGCACAATAGTAAGCCTCCGACTCTCATTATGCTATGTGCCATCAAAAATACACTCATTAAGCTTCCTCTCCTAGAGGTCCAATGACCAACATTTTTAGTAAGCAAGTTCAAGGAAGTCGTAGGAAAAACAGGACGCTATCAGCACTGTCACGGAGGATTCAAACGCCGTGATGAAATCCACCGTGAAGTTTCAGCAGTGAATTGTGTAGTTGAAAGCACTAACTTTGTGCACGTTCCAGGAACTTCGGTAACTACCTGGGACAGGGAAGAAATATCTGCAAGTAATGCTACGATTTACGATAGTTTGTTGAAGACGGTGCAAACTGATAAATAATTCCTGGAACTGTTTTGGCTTTCGAACATTTCGGTTCTGGTATCTATCGCTATCTGGCAGGATATTTATAGGACTCTTTGCTTGTCAGTCTGTTTAGACAGTCGCATACGGTTGGCTGACAATGATTAC